GTTACAGTGACTCAGTATATTCTTTCCATCTTCTTTTAATATTTCCTGGATCTGATTGTGGAACAGATCACCAGCTACTCATATGAAAGTTCAAGCTTAAGCTGAGCAAAATTATACCAAGTCCACAGGAACCAAAATATGACTTTGAGGTATCCCACCTGAATTTCAGGTACAGGTTTGAGGCCTTGAATACTAATGAGCGACAATCAGATGAGTTGTGGGTGGATATCAATGGTGTCATCCAGGAAGAGTGCAAACGGTCACTGCAAAGACAGAAGAGGAAGCTAAGACAAAAATGGATGTCAGAAGAGACTCTGAAAATTGCACTGGAGCACATAGAAGCCAAAGCAGAGGGAAGAATTCAAGATACTAAAGAGTTGAATAGAAGATTTCAAAAGTTAGTAGGAGATGACAAAGTAAAATATTACAATGAAATGCGCAATGAGTTGGAGTCAGAAAATCAGAAGGGCCGAATTCGCTCAGCATTTCTTAAGCTCAAGGAACTGAAGAACAAATTTAATTGAACATCATGATAGAAGAGGAAAATACTCAAATTGCCAAAGATTTCATCTTACTTAGATCCATAGTCAACATCCTTGGCAGTAGCACTCAAAAAATAAAAAAATATGTATTGCATCTGCTGTTAAAGACTTATACAAAATTTTAAGGAGCAACTGTGTCAACATAAAGAGTAAAGTGCACCTGATCCAATCCATGATCTTTTCAATTACTTACTGTGAATCTGAAAACTGAACCGTGGTAAAGGGTGACATAAGGAAAATCAATGCCTTTGAGTTGTGCTGGAGAAGAATATTGAATATTCCACTGACTGACAGAAGAACAAATATGTTTTGGAGAAAGTGTCACCACAGTCCTCCTTAGAGGCAAGGATGGTGAGACTTTGTTGCACATACATTGGGCATGTTAGAAGCACCCAGACCTTGAAAAAGGACATCCTGCTTGGAAAAGTAGAGGGTCACTGAAAGAAATGATGATATAAGTTGACACAGTGACTTGGACAATAAACTCGAGTATATCAGAGATGATGAGGAAAGCACAGGATGGGGTGGAGTACAGATCTCCTATTCATAGGGTTGCTATAGATTGTGGTTGACTTGATGGCACCAAACAATAACAACATTCATAGTTTAGACAGCCAAAAGCAACGACAAATCTTTCATGGAAGATGTACAGGCATGGTGATCCTTAGAAGCAAGGATTGTGAAACTTTTGTCTCAAATATTTAGTGTATGTTTGCATAAAGGGCCAGCCCTTGAGAAATAATGTCATGCTGGGAAAGGTGGAAGGTCAAGGAAAGGGAGGAAGACCCTCAAGAGAACACTGGGTTTGAGCATGGTGGATATTATGGGTGGATATGGTTCAGAATAGGGTAAAGTTTCATTCTGTCTGTTGATCATAGTTGACACAATAACATTCAAGGTTTTGAGAAAAGTAGTGTTTTTATTTACTTAAAACATTTGAGTGTGCAATCTTATCATTTTGTATAAACTCATTGCTGCTGATTTGGAACTGATACATAGCTGACCATCTATTTTGTTTTCAAAGGCTATAAAATTGCATGGGAGGATATTGGTCATATTTTTCATTAAGACTGCTGCTGGGTTTGAACCTGCCACATTTAGATTAGCACAACTCCCTCATTTTATATTGTACTTGTGAAAGGAGCAGTTGCAACTCTGGCTTCTACTGGTTCATAAGGGGGAACTGTCCCCATCAATAATGTCCAAATCACCATATAAATAACTACATAGTCAGACATGCCACACCCCCATGCTCTTGCACCTTTTACTATCAATTATTGGGTCTATTGTTTGTTGTTAATGCACAGACTTTACTCACAGTTGTGAGATTTATTAGGGAAATAGATTGGAGAGTGGAGGAGGCAAAGAATATCATACAGTGCAAGTTCAGGCGTAGTCCAGCAATCCCAAGCCAGATTAATAACAAGGCACAACACCTCAATTAGTGGAAGACAGCTTCTCTCTCACTAGTGAAAGTCTAGGTTTAGTTCAGCAGCACAAATACAAGAAGCCTCTTGTTTCTTCAGTCATCCAGCAAACCTTGAGCAGTTATAAGTCAGCTTTGCCTTCATTATCCAGCAAACATCCTTTAACTTTAGCCTTTATTTCCAGGTTTCCTTTAGTTACACCTTCCCACAGTCTTGTCACAGCAGTTCTATGTTTCTTCACAATCTCTCCTCCACTGTCACCTAGAGTGTCTTCGCAGTCCCTCTATCAAGAACTCTCACACTATGGAAAGCATTCTCTTATATTGGTCCACAGTTGTTGATTTGCAGGACCATGTTTCCACAGTTAAGATAGCTGGAGACCATGTCCCACCAACAGGAGCTAACACAATGGCTAGAAAAGCCAATTTTCAATGTTTCTGATACCGTAGTACTTTTTACTTGAAAATTCTAAATTATTTACTTAGAAGTAACTATTTCATTATACTGTGGATCAGTAAGCTAGCAATATGTACTATATGTTGCTTTTGCATTTTTTTTGCCCTTAAATCTTACCAAGAATTTGAGTGCAGATTTTGCACATTATTATGATAACAGAAGAGGAGAATGTTCTAGTCAGATGCTATCTATCAGTCCTTAGGTTTGAGGATTATGAAAATGGAAGCTGAATTTATGGCTATAACAATAACATATGGTAATCAGAGCTGTCAAACCTTGAAGGGAAGCAATTTTATATAGAAATCTTCTATGAATCAAATCCACTTGGGATCTTCCATGCTTACTTGATCTGCATATCTAGATCTCAAAGTCATTTAAGAATAACCTGATGAAGGTTAAAAGAAGATATATTATTTCCCTCAGATATTTATGGCTTTTACATAGAATATCTGGGTGGTCCAAATGATTGTCATACTTAGCTGCTAACTGAAAGACTGAAAGTTCAAGTTCACCCAGAGGCACTTTGGAAGCAAGGACTGGCAGCTTCTAAAAACAGGCTATTGATTTTTTAAATTGATTTTTTTAAGTGCTATCTACTGTTGCGTGCATGGTGTCAACATGAATCAAACAGACTCTTTAAAAATACCTGAGCCAAGCCATGTGTTATTTGCTGTTATACAGACACAGGTACAACAGTGTTGCTGTGACATATTTTAGCTTTGTGATAAATACAGAAGTGATATTTGTATATACTAGATATTTTTAGTATTTATTTCTGAATAAATTTTTTTGTTGTCGTTTCTAATTTATTTAATAAGAAATGCTGTGTTCAGTGGCTGTATTGTTTCTGTACTTAACACAGAAAATGCTAGACTACCTCAAGGAGAAGAAGGATGTAGGCTTCTTTCAGAGTCTTGCGGGCCTGATGCAGTCCTGCAGGTAAGGAAACATTTTCTGCCATTGACCTTATTTGGTAGTTTTACTTTATGAAGTCTTGTGTTGCATTGTTCACAGTAACAATGCTGAGAACAGTTTTAATGTCTAAACACACAGTGCATGAAGTTATAGACATACTTTCTGTTTTGTTTGTGTGTTAGTAATGTCTTAGCTCCTAATTTACTCAGTGTTTGAATTTCAGATAATCTTCTATGCTTGAATATTTTCAGAAGGAAGGTGGAGAATGTGCACTTGAAAGTGCAATGTGAAGTTTTAAAAGAGAATATATTATCTTTTCTTCAGCTTTATTTCGGGGCCATATAGGCCATTTCCCATTGTAAATGGTCCTTACCTAATTTGTGGCCATCACTTTCCATGTTCCAATGCTTACCCTCATCTAGACAACTTTTGGTGAAGGAATGACATGTTTAAAGAAATAAGATTTATCCATGGGGAAAATTGATTCTAATTCTAATTTTACTGTGTATTTCAACTTTGTAACACATTTCCAAAGCCGAAATTTGGGTTTCAACTCCTGTTTGAGTCCTGATTAATTCATTGTGAGCCCTGAGGAAGTTCTACCACCAAGAAAAGATGGCTTCAAGATCTCAGATTGCATGCTGTTCATGTTTGATTCATACTTCAAGACATGGACTTTGCAGACATGAATTTGCTTTCTTGGACAGTAACAAATAAACAAAAAAAATATTCTATCACTAATACTTTTCTTCTTTGCTGTTGTAGTGTTCTTGACCTAAATGCATTTGAGCGGCAGAACAAGGCTGAAGGACTTGGAATGGTGACAGAGGAAGGATCAGGTATTAATCTCTTAAATCTAAAAGGTTATATAGCCCTTTTTCCATTCCAGGAATGAGTCACTGTACAATCACTTTTCCAAACAAAGAGATACTAGATGTTTCTGAACTTGGTAAAATGTTCATGTGGTTCATTTTGAAGTACATCTTTGGACAGTCATACATGTGTCACTTGAAATCAAACTTGAATGTCTGTGATTCACTCCGTTTAGTACCTGCCCTGCTATGTGAAATGCCTTATTGATGAATTATCCATAAGTCATAAAACACAAGAACTGACTACCTCACTGTGCCATTAACATTTGTGGGTCATTATAACAAACTTTGAAACATCCAATGTCTTCACTCTTTCCTTAGAATAGCAGTCTTTGAGGTCCTTCAATGTACCATTCACAACTTTTCCTCTCCTGTTTACCACAACGAAGCTTCTCTCTCCCACACTCACACACTGTTCTTTACACGCCATACTTACTTGATAAAAGAAATGGAAGAATCCCTTTTCTGTTCATATTACTCCAATTATTTTCTCCACCTATACATAAAAGTAACTCACAGGATCTAAGGATTTTTCTCTTGGTAAATGGATGTAGGTATAAATTGAAATATTTAATAATCTGTGCATTGATATTAAAGATAAACTTTGCTTCACCCTAATTTCAGGGATGATTACTAAGAAGAAACAGTTCCTGATTTTGGTTTTATTTTTGTTCTGTTGTGTTTGGTTTTAATCTACTTTAGCTTTATAAAGTCTGTGTATGCTAATGTTTTTTGTTCATTTGATCTAGTTTGGACTTTTCATCTTTTAAATGTTTGGCTCTGCATTGGGTCTTTTTATAACACTTATCTTCCTTACTGCAAAAATAAATTTTCTCCCACCTGGCATGTATAGTCTTTGCTTGCCTTTCTGAAATATTTATAAAATCAACTTAATTTTTAATTATCTGGGGTTGTTGTTGTTCTTACAAAGAACAAGATTAACTGCATTTTTTTACTGTACTTTATGGCTTACATGCACCTTAACACCGTGTGGTTCCTATGTCATTCTATTTTCTGTTTTATATTAATTTATTTTCAGTGACCAAATAGAAGCTATATGATTACTTGATTGAGTGAGCCACTTTCAAGAAAAATGAAAAGCTTACTGTGAATTTACTTGGGTTTTCTGTTACTAAATGCCTACGTCAACAGACAGCCCTTTAATTGTGAGCTTCATAGGAGAACTCTGAACTCTAGCACTTCATCTGTTCCATCTGAGTGGCAGGCCTTATTCACTAGAAAGTACTTGAAAGGGAACGACTTTTGTGTTTAAAACCTGACCCAGAAACAGTTTCAGGAGGTTAGGGGATCATTATTCCAAGCATGTCTTCTCTTTTTGTATAAGGGAATGTTTTTATTAGGATACATCCCTTTGGCCTGGTAGATAAGGAAACATCCTTGCAAAACTATAGTGTCCCTGGCCTTCAAATAAGAGAGGGGCTACAGAGCCGCAGAACTTCTTTTCTCCCCTCCTTTGGAATTTAAACATCTCTCAGTGCCCCTTCTTGGGAACTCCTCCCTCAATGGAGATATCCTAAATGTAGATATATAAATAAGGAATATGTCAGTTGTTGCCTATTATGACTTCCTCTTACAAGAAACAATGCCTTCCTTCCCAAGACCACTAACTACTTCTCCTAGCTCCTTCTTATTATGTCTCTGCCTTGAGAATTTGAACTAGGCAAGAGCCTGTGTAGCTTTGTAGAATACCATCACTGCTAGAAAAGAAATATTAGTATGTCTCAAAAGAGTGCAGATGGCATGGGGGTGGCCGTAAATAACCGTCACTAACCCTACAAGGAAAACTATTCCCCACCAACAACATCCACAACCTAATACTAAATTGTATGGCGTTAGATATTCCCTACACTCCCCAAACCTAATTCTACCAATTCTAATATCAGCCATCCATCTAAAAGCCCACTAATTTGTGCAGTGGCCATACCGACCTGCTGAGGCTGCTGATACTCTCATGCATGTCGTAGTTTGACTGATGCAAGACTCTTAGATCCTGAAGGACACTCACTGCATTCTCTGTTGCTTCCTTGCTGGTACTGAGCTTCCTGCCTTTGCTGCTAAACCTGGTGAGATAGGAAAGACACACTAATCCCATGTTGTTGTTAGGTGTCGTTGAGACAAGTATGACCCATAGTAATCGTGTGAACAATAGATCTGGGTTTTATTTACCAGTTCAGCTTTGGGAGATTATTGTCTAAAATGACTGAATTCCCTGAACTACTTTGTTACAAAGAATAGTCATGTTACTTAATCTCTCATTGGTGGTTTCAGAGAAGTGTGTTTCATTTCTTCCTTCAGGTTCCACATAGTATTCTAGAAGCTGTGTATACAATTCGACTCATCCCCCTTAACCACTGTTAATACTGACTCCCAAGAAGAACAAATACCACACAGATTATTTTACACAACCCCTTGGCCTTGTTCCCCTCAGTCATCAGACAGACAGGGATGCCATTTTAGAGACCCACATCCATGAGAGTAAACGTTCTTATGTCATAATTATATCTGAGGTTCTCTCAATCTGAGATTAGTTCATTTTACTTTCCCTCTTCACATCCCCGACCCCAAAAGAATAGCCCAAACTGCTGAGCTAGTTTTGTATTTTATTTCCTATCAAAAGGTAGAAGAAGACCATAATCTCAATTCTTTCTCTTTCCCCATCTCCTTTTCTGTCTACTGTTAATGTTTTGTCGTCAATTCTTCGATCATCACTCATGAGCATGGTAATTATTCAAAATAAGCTGCCTTTTGTTGATTTGCATTTTTATTTGTTGTTAGCTTTGTGTCAGCTCTGCACAGACTCTCTAGGGAAAATATTTGTGCTTTTTTTTTTGTTCATTTCATAGACCATGTTAATGCAAGTAGATTATTTCATTTTGATCACTGTGCATCCTATTATTTGTAAAAAAATTATAGCTAGCTCTCTTTGCCTCTTTTTGGCTTTTCCTATTTTCTGTGAGGATGTACAGTTATACTAGCATAACAGATATGAAGGGGCAGCGAGCATCTAAATTATTTTTTTTCACCTGTTATTATCACTGGACATATTTCTTGTGAGTCCAGTGTCTGTGTGTGTGTGTGTGTGTGTGTGTGTGTGTGTGTGTGTGAATGAATCCTCTGTATCTGTCTGAATGTACTGTGACTTTATGGCTGCATGTTGGTGCATTGGGATGCAGGGCAGATCCATCCTAGCTGTGGTGCCCAGTTTTCTCCTGGACAATGTGCTCTGCTACTTCCCTTACACACACTGGACAGTGACTCATTTTCCCTATTTTTAAAAAGGAAGCCACAGATTAAAAATTATAATAGAAAAACTAAGCTGTTTGAGATTAAAACCACAGAGCCCTAGAAGCAGTAGCAACTATTTACTCTTCAAACTAACATAATATTTATTATTTCAATGTGGTTTTTGCAAGACACCAGAAGCAGTGGTGTTAATAAGGAGAGGATTAGTTTTCAGATAATACCTATTATATCAGCAAGGTTTTTGAATATTTTAAAAAGGAATTATGCATTTGTATTTTGTTGTTTTATATTCAGAATGTCATTAATAGAAGAAAAGGCAAAGATAAATTATTAACTCTAATAATATAATGTCTCAAAGATTATTTTAAGAACCCTTACTGGCTCTAGATTTTGTGATACTTTAAAATTTCTATTACTGGATCATCATTTTGGTTTAAAAGTTTACAAAAGTTTGCAAAAAGAAAAAGGTTGGCCCATCAGGGACAAAAGTGGGAAAATTTTAATCATTCCCTCTAAGAGTGCTTGGGAAGGAGGTAAATCTCATTCTGTTGGTGACATCACTGTTGCTCAGAATAAAGCTCAGGTGAGGAGGCTGAGCTCTAGAAAATGGAATAGAATTAATCTTCTCTCTCACCACCTCTCTTTATTGGTGCATATCTCTCTTCCTGATAATAATAAATAGAAAAACTCAAACACATTTACCATCAGGCTGGAGCCAACTCCTAGTTGACTCTTCAGCAGGTTTTCAGAGGCTTTAAACCATGCAGGATGAGATAGCTGATTTTTTCCCCCTTAGAGCAGCTAGTGGATTCAAATCACCAAAAATGTACCACAGTGGGGTTAGCAGCACAACTCTCTACCAGTTAGACTGCTGAAGCTTCTTTGATTATGATAATAAATCCGCAGATTGTTATTGTCAACTGTTGAGTTGGAAGCAGCCCATAGCTGACCCTCTAGTGGGTTTTCAGAGGCAGTTGATTGCCACCTTTTTCTCACAGAGCAACTGGTGAGCTTGAATCACGTGCCTTTGGGTTCGCAGCAAAGCTCCTTACTCACAAGGCCCCTAGAGCTCCCTTAGATAGAAATATCAATATAAAAATTGAAATAGGTGAACTTTCTGTCACTTATGGCCTTCCTGTAAGTTAAATATATATTACAACCATTTAAGACAGGTCACTGTGAGCCGGAGTCAACTCAAAGACAACAATAACAACAACAACATTTAAATTCTAAGAGAGGTGGCAAGAGGTGACCACATGTTGTATTCTGTTAGTTTACAACAAAAACAGAGAATACTGGAAAAATAAATAATAATTGCAAGAGACTTCAGAGGCCATAAGATCTGAAGGTCATATATAATTTCACGTAAACACAATCCTAAAGTATGGTATTAAAGGCATTTCAATTCTCAACAACCAATGAAGCATTAATATCCAAACAAACCTAATAATTAAACACAATTATATCTAATAATTAAGAACAGTCCTCAATATAAGCAAAAATGCTCACCACAAGAGACATACTTCATGAAAATCCAGTAGGAGACTTCAAATAGCAAAGGGGTCTTGTCCCTTCTGATGCCTTTTGTTTGTAGCCTTGAAAATTTAGCTTAACTGCATTATTCTGTGCAGGATGTCTCCAGAATCAGAACCTCCCAGATGAAGGTGTTACTAATCAGAATTGAAGTGCTGTCCTGAAGGATA